TACATTACATTACATTACATCACATTACAGACAGACAGACATACAGACATACAGACAGACAGACAGACAGACAGACAGACATACAGACAGACAGACAGACAGACAGACAGACAGACATACATACATACACACACATAAAATGCAGGCATACATTGACATACCAAGCGACAAACATACAGACATAAACCAGCATGAACTTGGCGCACGCTTCGTCGACCGTGCCTCGAGGCGTCTACGAAACCCGAGACCCCCGGAGCCCTGCACCTCCGAAGAAGGTTTAGGGTTTAGGGTTTAGGGTTTAGGGTTTAGGGTTTAGGAGCCTGAAACTGAACACCTAAAGCCTAGCCGACAGTTGGGAAACTGATCTGTCAATACTGCATTGCACTAGAAAACTCTTCGGCGCCGGCGTTGGGCGCCAAAGGGATGGTGAGTATTAAGAAGCTGGCGACCAACCTTCAAGACTCCAAAAACAACTATTTACATGCCTAGACCCCCAAAACCCTTAAATCCTCAACCCCTGAACACACTAAATCCTTCAAGAGACCCAGAACCCTAAACCCTCAACCCCGAATCAAAATGCAGGGCACGCGTCCACATGGCCCAGGCGACACGCTTCGAGCAAAGGGGTGGCGACACCTGGCTAAGGGCCCCTTCACGGGCTCCCAAGAGGACTGGAAGGGATTTAGGGGTTTTGGAGCTTCTGGGGTTTAGGGTTTAGGGTCTAGGGTTTGGGGTTTGGGGTTTAGGTCTAGGGTCTANNGGGCTTAGGGTTTAGGGTTTATCGGGCCTGGGTTTAGGGTGATTTACAGGGTCGAGGTGCAAAAAGCTTAGGGTTAGGATTAGGCTCAGGAAACCCGTAGTCAGCAAGAGCACCCCACGAAGGAGAGCTTTGTCTCCATAAGGTCTCTGCGCAGGCTTACGTCTTCGTTTCGTTTCGTGATGTGCTCGCGGGACTCTTCTTCAACCACGTATTCCATTCGCACCACACGAACAAAAACCCTCAACCCTAAACCTGAGTCACTCGTAGCCCCAGACTGTAGTCTCGCAGTCGAACACTTAAGAAACCCTTTGCGGCAACGAACTTCAGCCATGAGGTCGTAACATTGATGCCTTTGTTAACATCCACATGGACGAAAGACATCACAGTTTTCGTTCCGGAAGGCATGAGTGTTTGTTCAGAAACGCGCGGTTGCCGAAACACTGAGCGATGTCTACATGCCCTTGCCTGACAAAACCGTTGACACTAAACCCTAAACCCAAAACCCCAAACCCTAAACCCAAAACCCCAAACCCTAAACCCAAAAACCTAAACCCAAAACCCCAAACCCTAAACCCA